ATACAAAAGGCGCGTAGCACACAGGTTGCGTGGGTGGGGGCCGACATACCATTACCTCACTCACCGCGCCCTTCTAGTGTCTAAAAAAACAGCATTAAAGGCAGTTGGCACGATAAATCCCCAAGACGAGTAGGATTAATACGCCTGGCAGGACGGAATTCCGCGACCCTGAGCAGGCGCTGCATAGTGCCTTCCCCAAAGAAGGTGCCCTTATAAGGGCCCTATCAAGCTACAACATACCGACCCGAACGCCCACCACGCCCACAAATGGACGACCGTTCCTGACGCTCGTATTGATTCATTTGCTAAGCAAATTATGAAGCGAAGGGATTGGTATGAAGCGGCTGCATGGATATATGAGTACACATATGCAGCCGTATCTTCGGTAGCGGTGATTGGCAAGATGCCTACGGGAAACTCGTCCAAAATTGATTTTAAGTCACTGAGAACGGAGGCTTTTTCTTCGCAGGATTTTGACCGTTTCACTCCGTTCTTTCGCCATTTCCCCACTATATAGCGCCCTGCTAGCATTTTAGGCCAAGTACCGAGTTATCGTGCCAACTGCCTTTTAGATGAAGAACGCAGGATGTTAGGCTCGGCTTGGCCCTCAACGTGGATTGTGCCTTGAAGGCAGTTGGCACGATGTTTTGCTACTCGGCCTAAAATGCTAGTAGGGCGCTATATAGTGGGGGAAATGGAGTGAAACGGTCAAAATCCTGCGAAGAAAAAGCCTCCGTTCTCAGTGACTTGAAAATCGATTTCGGACGAGTTTCCCGTAGGCATCTTGCCAATCACCGCTACCGAAGATACGGCTGCATATGTGTACCCATATATGCATGCAGCATCACGGCCGCTTCATACCAATCCCTTCGCTTCATAATTTGCTTAGCAAATGAATGAATACGAGCGTCAGGAACGGTCGTCCATTTGTGGGCGGGCGGGCGTGGTGGGCGTTTGGGTCGTATGTTGTGGCTTGATAGGGCCCTTATAAGGGCACCTTTCTTGGAAAAACCGCTATGCAGCGCCTGCTCAGGGTCGTTTCACCAATTGTAATTTGTGTGCCTCAAATTCTAAAGACAAAATGGAAGATAACACAAGACTGAGGAGAAGAACACAAAAACCCACTCCACGGGGATGCCTGTAGTGATGAAAGTTGGGTGTTGCCAAGACCAGTGGGTGGAGTAGTGGCTTCTTTTCAAGCGGGTCGCGCTTTCCTCACGCATTTTCGAGCCTCTAGGTTTGCGGATAAGACTACTATGTTTGAAGAAGGCGTCTGGGCACCAAATGAACGCGGGACGTGCCTGCCACAGTTTACACCGGAAAACAGTTTCCGCGGTAAACTGCTATAGGAAGTGGGTGATAATCCAGGAGCCGTGAATAAAGGGCCCTTCAGTGGAAGCAAAAAGAAACATGAGAACACCTTGAGCAAAACCCCGTCCTGACAGTCATGCGACCTCCTTGTACGGGTTCTCCGGACTTAGGGGTCATTTCCAGGTGGAGGAAATAGGAGAATCTGTATCATTGGAAAGAAGAAGGTTCCTAGACACTATGCTTCGCCCTGCATGCGACAAAAATGCTCAACCATTTCGCATTTGACCTGGCGGCCACCGTACTACATTGTGAGTGGAAATACGAATTTGGAGCAAGATCAAGAACATTTCCTGAATTGGAGTGTCAGTTGAAACCAGTGCCCCTCAGGGAGTAGTGAACAAGTCGTTCCAGTTGTCCCACAGTTCCCAAGTGCGCGGTGCGAGTCAGGAACAGACACGAGTTTTTGAAAAAAAGAACTAAAAACCGGAAGCGATCGTCTAACATAAGTCATAACGGTAATTACCTCTGACACAAGTTACACCTTATTTCTTTCCCACTATTACGTAAGAGATGTTGGTGCTGTTCGATTGGGAGCGGCATTCTGCACTCTCCCAGTTACTTTGCTAAATTTCTTGAATCACACGTCAAACCTTGGTGAGATCTGTAAACTCTTGCCAACAGGGCACATCATTGGTTGGGATTTTAGTCGAGTCTGTACGAAGCCTCCCCTCCTTTTTTTCGGAGTTGGTACGACCCCCTCCGGCCCTCTGTCCCTCCTCATCGAATCGAGCCGTCGAGCGGGGGAGTAAATAGCACATGTGAAACAGGAAAAGATGCGAGACAATACGACCCCCCCCCTTCTACCAATTCTCAGATTTTCCCCAACTTCCTGCCACTTTTTCCAGAACTTCAAGAAAACTTCCCTAATTTTTCCCCCAAAGATTTTGCTGTCGAGGGGAGAAGGAGTATATAATAGTACGCATGAAACAGGAAAATCACGAAAATTTAATCACCACTCACCACTCCTAGAAAAGCCAGAAAGTAAATACGACCCCCCCCCCCCCAACAATGAGCAAGTACGACCCCTTTTACAACGTCCGTGAAGCGAGAAAAATCAACTATCA